TGTGTTCTACTTTTTAAAAATCCCAATTCCACCTATTCCCAGTGTAGCGGTAATGTTGACCTCCCCTATTCCCACTTGCAAATAAGAATAGATGTTTTGATAGTTAATTTATTTTTACAGTAGCTAGACTAATTACATCTGCTCTTTAGATTTATCTATATTTTATAAATTTTAAGACAGAAAATAATGAATACATCTATGAGAAATATGATTTATTTTGAATTTTTGAAATAATAAAAAGGTCTTACAAGAAAAAGCCGATTAATATCTTAATTCAAGAACATAAAATTAATAGATTTATTAAAAAAAGCATTCATATAGGTGGATTTTAGAATGAATTTATTAACAGAGAAAAAATATAATTTAATTTTATTAAAAATCCATTTTCTTCTTTCAAATATTAGGAAAAAGTCTGATTTATAATTTAGTGAAGCAAATATACCTGTCCTATATTTCAATATGTGTTCAATAATCATTGTTTGTACTGTTATTATATGTTTTCATAGTTAATTATTTGTTTACACAAAAATTCCACCTATTCCCAAATAGAATCTTACCTTTTTCTACCTGATTTTCAAAAAGTGGAAATAGATAGAATAAACCAATATATCCAAAATCACTTATGCGATAATAATTTCCAAGCCCCTTCATATACTAGTATTACTGCAGGACACATAAATCAGGTCATTTTTTGACACTCTCAATGAAATTTACGTCATCAGACATGTGACAAGTTGCTTATATCATAGACTCTCTCGTACTATTGGCTTATATCGTTCTCATGGGGCGTTGAAATCTCGGGCGCTCTGAATTTCGAATCTCGTACGTATTTCGAATCTTCAATCTCGAATGAGCCTTCTGGGCTTTCTTAGTATTGATACTTTTTGTTCGTTCATCAGCTCTTCGTGCAATTAATCAACCGGCAAAAATCAAATTTCAATAATTAATGATGATTCAGACATATTATTAAATACCCATAACAAATTTAAACAAAAAACCGTTTGGCCCAGTCCAATTGAATGATAATAATACATGTCCTTTCATATTGAATGACATACAAGAGAAGAAGCTTAAATGACATTATATAGCACGTACGATTTTATTTCGTGGCCACGAATTTTTATTTTGTGGCCACGAATTATATTTCGTTCCAACGAATTTTTATTTCGTGGCGACGAATTTTATTTCGTTCCAACGAATTTTATTTTAAGGCCACGAATTTATTTCCTTTCCATGAATTTTAATTTCGTGGCGACGAATTAATAAAAAAAATTCTCACACCATGTCCTATACTAGCCACCATAATTAAATCTTTTGTAGCAAATGCAAAACTCTGTAATTTTAGAGAATAAATCAATTATAATAAATGAAAGAAAATCTGATATTGAATTATTTTTGTGATAAAAAAATGCAGTTTTAATCGAATGACATGAACTCTTATTGATAACCAATTAATTGGTTAAAAATTTCCAACCCCCTGATTCTTAAAATATACACTTCTTGAATTTTATTTTTAAATTGTAAATCCTAAATAATTTTGAAGGCGAATAATGACCTACATTAAATAATGACCGGGAGTGTGACGGTGCATATTGGTCAGTTCAGAATGGTTTATTTCCATTGTATAAATCTTGGAAAAATAGATCAATTTCATTTGTAAAACTGTTCAGGACTTGACAATGAAGTACAATCTAGTAATAAGAAGTTTATTTGTCTGAGTAAATGGTGTGATATTTACTCAGATGCTGTTTGATGTCTGTCTGGCTTACAGGTCCCCTACCCCATCTGGAATGTTAACACATGTATACCGGACCTATACAGACAGAAAAGCATTGAATCCAGCTGTCTGCTATCCTGCCTTTACCATCTCTTCTTATAGAATTTAATGATGAATGTCGATTGTGAGACCAGCGAGTCTGGGCCACCAACTACGTTTTTAAATTCCCTGAAGTCGTTTGTCCACAGGTGTATTTATCGGGACGGATCAGCACGTGGTGGCAGGAGTCCTTCAGCGTGACTAGTGATAAGTGAAATTTAGTTAATAAATTGTGTATGTGAATAAAAGTTGAAAGGAAATTCCAAAAACTATTTTACAGAGTATTTATTCAAGTGACCTTTTTTTCCTAATCTCTAAAAAGAACAGCTATTTTTGTATCTGATACGTGAATTGAACAAAAAGACTGTTGAATTAAAGTAATAAACTTTGTATCAGATACATGTATTTGTGTAATTCATTTCTGTCTATTATTTTTTCTAATTTGGGTGTGGTGAGAGAGAGAGAATATTATTATTTTTTTTTTTGTTTATTTTCATTGATATTTTTTCCTTAAGTTTACAATTTGTTCTTTTATCTCAGCCGTACAAATTTCCAAAGAACTCATCACAAAACTACTTTAAAGAAAGAACTATAAACTTAACCAATCTGCATCCATGGATAAAGAGCCCGGGTTTGAATCAAACTCGCACTGCCTTTTTTCCAGATGTAGAGAGCCATGTTTTTGCAAATAAATCTTTCCGCAAACCGGTCCTAAAAGTCTCTCTTTCTGTAAATAATAGATCCAAAATAGGCTTGGTCGCGAAAAATGATTGTCACGAACTACTTTACGACCGGTAGATCGCGAAATAAAGTCATTGCAAATAAAGATTGGTTTACAGTAATTAGTTAAAGAGCTAAGAAATTTTGTGCCCTGTGTTATAAACTAAGTGCATATTAACAAAAACATCACAATTTATAACATAGCTCATTTCATTTCTTAAAAAAACATTACACTTACACACTCAAATTGCCGTAAAGCACTGACTTATAAATCAAAGCTGAATTCATAGATGTTCACCATAATTTTAGAGTTTAGAATACATATTTTAGTAATTTAAAAAAAATTATGATAAAATATATTCAGGTAAATGAATGTCATCTCTCTTATTCGTAAAAAATATGTTTCTTTTTCTTCTTGTCACGCATGGCAACTTGAATACGAGTATGCAATAGAACAAGTATGAAAATCATCATAGCAAGACCGATGATGCCCCACAGCATGGCTTGTCTCTGTGTCCCAAATGCCTGCAATGCAAATTCTGTTTTACCACGAGCCTTGGATATGTTGATGGAAGCTGAAAGAACAATGAAGATATATTGTATCTTTGTATGATTCACTTCAATGTAACAATTTCGAAATTTTGAATGTCGCCTTACATGAAGGTTAATTCATGGTCACTCTAAATAAAACAGTGTTCAAAATCAGTGTACAAATTTAAAATTATTCAATACGATTTTAGGACACTTTTTTTAAATATGTCCGGGGAAGCCAGCGCTTCATTTTTTAATTAATTTCCTTTTATTTTTCTTCTCTACTGAAAATACAAGAAACTGTTCTTAGAGATAACAAAATACAGTATTAATATGGCACATATATACATTATTGTTGAAAATCTCCACAAATCTTTTAACTCTTTGATGATGACAAGTTTTAGTAATATTCTTCTTCGAATACTGCGTCGTCAACTGGAGGTAAATTTTCATTTTCTTTGATGGGAAATTGGAAGGTGGCACATACCGAGTTAAATCAGACGAGTCTAGTTCTTTTCCATGCATAACATCTATAATTCTTTCTAAACTACTGTACAGCAGGAAATTAACTCGCGGAGTTAATATTCGCTATATTCGCGGAAAAAGAAATTCCGCGAATTCAACATACAGTGAATAATTCTTCAAAAGATTCATAAGGATAACTTGAAATTTTTCTTTTATCTTCATAAAATCTATTTAATTGTCTTTCCGTACAAAAACACAGGCAGCAATCATTTATAAACACGTAGATGTTGATGTTTTTAAAGCTTATTGATTGTTAAATTAATTACTAAAACTTACAATTAATTTTGCCATCGTGCTTGTTTAATTTCAATTCACCCGTGTGTATCACTCAGTCATTACATTTAATTAAGGCACTTACGTAGTAAACAGGGTAAAGACAATTAATTTAAATCATATTATTAAAAGATCAACATTTTGAATACGGTAAATTTTTCTGATTCGGACTCAAAAATTAAAATAAATCTGAATGCGTAGTATTGCTTTAACTTCATATCGGGATCAGTCCGGTGTTTCTTTATTATTCAGTCGGGCTCAAAATCGACACAATATATATAGAGCCAACGACAGAGGTGAATGTATGAGCCGATGGTAGAGAGTGAGACTCGCTTAGTCTGTCTGATATGCCCGATATTCATGTACAGACTTTCATAAGATAAAGACGGGGAATATTAGTCTACACAATATCTACCTAAAGAAAAATGCTTGAAGTATTGTTTAAAAAATGTATGATTTTTTCCTTTCCGCGAATTCAAACGACCGCGATTTGCTGAAACTTGAACAAATCGCGATCTTTTCCGACCGCGATTTTAACCTGCTATACAGTAACTGATTGAAGAAATAGATAGAAAGCATTTTAAAATTCTCATTCTACCGATTCGAACGTTCACTAAACAAAGCATTCAAGCAATATTATTACTTCAACTTATCTTCGTTGTCATTTCATCTGTGAGGTTTTAGATATATACTATTAAAATGACTAATGTTTCATATAATCTTACTACAACAGTTTCACGTATCTTATTGCAAATATCTCTTGACTTTGACCCATAAAAGTTATGCTTTATATTTTTTAATGTAAAACACAGCAAAAAATTGCCATGACCATGCATTCCATACATTCTGTGGATGTCAAGTGTTCTATATCATTCGTTTTGTCATTTCTGTTGGTTGATAAATGATCTTCCATAATCGACCTTTTGGGCACGAACTGTGAGTTGGCAGAGGGTTTGGTATAAACATGGGATAAAGCAATGTTTGGCTTTCCCTCTGTAGATATCTATTCAAGAAAAACAATAATTGTTTTACACTGTAAATGCAATCCATTCTTTCAAAAAATAAATGTATATAATCTGCCAGATGATGTTTCATGTTTATGATTTTTATAAAATTAAAGAAAGCCAAGTGATATCTATACATTTACTTTATATTTACATCCCGTTTCGGCATTACAGAGATGTTGCAGACAACTACATTTCTCCTGACAACCTTGTCCATAACTTGGATAACGACATGGAAATTCACAATATTTGCCACTGCGTCCTGCTTTGCATGTCAGTCCTTTAAGAATAAAATTGCAATATAAGGCATGTCATATCAAATTTCGATTTAATAGTCACTCACAAAAGAACCCATTCTCTTATATCATTAACATATTATATCTTACGAGGAGGAGGACATCCCGTAATATGATGACAAAGCTGTGGATTACAGTCACATTTTGACTGACACATGAATCCATATTTTGGATACTGACAAGGTCCTTTACATGTACTTCCTGTATATCCAATAGGACATGCTGGAAGAAAAGAATTGAAAATAGACTTTTATAATGTATTTATATTTTGTCCTCTTCATTAGGGAAAAACTTCTTTTCTGGCAACAAGGAAATGAACCTGTGATTATACTTCAGGGTCATTTAAATAACAGGTCCAGGCTATTTTAACGTTTATTTAATTTATTTATTTATTGGTCAAATTAGAAAGCATGTGCAAACTCTCATTGCGTTTGGTACTCTATAAAACGTCTGTATTTTTTTTTATTAAAACAGCTTTTGTTTAATGGTTTGAACTTGCATGAATTTGATTTCAAAAGTATTCAATGAAAATGTCGGCCACTACCTGTCAAAATTTATTTGTTGATTTTGCTCTCTTTTATTTCCTTCCCCATTCTTGGATATATTTCTGATATTTCATATCAATACACATTAAATTCCCCAATTTCCTTTAGTATAAAGCAAACATTTTAACTCATTGAAATGAAATTGAATTGACAGATGTCAATCAAGTTTTTGTTTTGATAATTTTCTGATAATTAAGTTTTCTACTCATATTTCCTTAATGTACCTTTCTTAAACGCTTTTGTAGTACGTAAGATATAAAATTATGCCCAAAACGTTTAATATTTTAGCCTATCAAGTTGTGCTTTTGCCCTTTTGATATCTGAGGACATGATTATTATGCATTGAAAATCAATAGATATTAGAATATTTCTGTATTTAGCTTAGCATCGTAAAGAACGACATAGCTGAAACTATGCTTGTCGATGAACTTGAGCAAATGATATATGTTTAAGAGGAAATCTATTACTATATTGTCACTGAGTCAGTCAGTTATTCGTATATAGATATTGGTTTGGCATTCTTAGACTATGAAAATTGCAATAAATTATTACGTACGGATGCACCTGTTGTTCTGCATCGTATATCCTAGAATACACTTCCCTTGAGTAGGTTTCTGCCTGGTGCTAGTAAATATATAATGTCAGTGTTAAACGTTATCATTTGTATTTGTAGGGAATATACGGATATAAAAAATGTAAGAAGTCTTGTATTACCTATATCAGTTACTGATGTCCATTGTAAGGAATCAAGGGAAACATTCAAGTTAATCTCAGTCACACTGTTACAAATGTAATAGATGACATGAATAGAATTGATTCTTTTTTTCTTTTGTAAACGTCATCTGTTGAATTGTTACCTAAATATACAAAGGGAGCACGGAAAGAGTGACAAGGTGCTCTTACAATGTACCGCTGAAAGCAATTAGTTCAACGCCTCTGGCATGCACCCTCACGTAGCTCAGTCGGTAGAGCGCTAGGTCTGTGATCGGAAGCACGTCGTGTGTTCAAGCCTCGTCCACGACTGAACTGAGACAATAAAAAATAGGTAGCAAAAAGTTTCCTTTGTCAAGTTTGTGCACTCTGAACTGAAAGTTGTGGAACTTTTGGTAAGAAAGTGTGGCCCCACGTCAAGGCAATTTTTGCACCAAAGAGATCACTCAATGCTAAAAAGTCCTGATCGAGTCTAATCTTGAATCCCTTTGCCCGTCCATGGTACCTTCTCTATGTGAGTGAATAATTCTCGAACGGGATTTCTTTTGTTTTGATTGTTTTTTTTTTTCGTTTGGGGTCGATTAGTTTCAATTTAGGTGGTGTTTTGGGGAAGTTTTTGGGTCTTTTTCTGTTTCTTTTTTTTTTGCAATTGAGCTGGGCATTGTTATTTTCAGATTTCAAAGATACAACATCTGCCGAATATTATACTACAAAAAGTAAAATGATATTTGTATGGTTATTAACATGATTCTTAGCCATTTCTTTTCTAATGAACTAAAAATGTACCTATCGGAAATTCAATCTTTTTTGTACTAAAACATTTTTAAATATTCATACTAGTATGCATAATGGATCTTTTTTGTTTTAGAAAAGGAGCTCTACTAGCTGAAAATGTATTTTGGCAGAACTTGATTAAAACATTTTATTCAAGCCTTATATTTTAAAGTTTATAATATTGAAACATTTTATTGCAGCATTGTAGTTCTTGTAATTTATTAATTTCCATCCCATATGATTGGAAGAGTGAAATTCAAAGATCAGCATGACCAAACGTTATCTGACTTGCAAATACTCTATAACTTTACAATTTCCTGTAGCTTTTCTGCTACTTCTATGCTTTAGAAAATTTTGTCATTCATTTGGATTATATTTTCAGAAATCTGACAAGAAATTTAAATATGATCTAGATTTATGAGCACATGTTTCCTTGATTGCTGAATGTTTCTGTCAAAAAAACTAACCGCAAGACCATGATCATTGTCTTATTCTCTGTGTATACTTGAATGAGCGAGATTGATGGTGGTCACTAGGAGAATATACAGCGAGAATGGAGTAAAACGTAGCAATGAATTAAATTGTAATTAGAAAAATGGATCCCTTACATACATATGCACTGTATACAAGGGAACCCAAGAAAATGACGAATGAAGCGTGAATAATAATTCAGTAACACTAATATTGCAACATGGTCAAGTTGACGATATAAATATTTGGATTTCATGGAATGAATAAATACAATAAATTGCTACAGTTTCCCTGTCCCATTCTTGGGCATCACATAATATAAGCTTTTGTATAGGGATAACTGTGACTGACAAGTAGGGGTACAAGCTTAAGCTGAAAGATTATTTGGAGATTGTTTGCATAAAAATTTAAAGTATGTAATTTCTAAATTCTTTGGGGAAAACCTTAAAAGGCATTGTGGTGCGGTAATTGCTTTGTTTTAAGACAATGTGAAGATGTTGCGTATTTTGTTTTGATTGATCCATGTTTATGCATGGAAGTATTCATTTCTTTTATTTCAATGAAAACTCCTAAAAACATTTCATGGGACGCCGTGAAACAATTACTTGACCTGATGCATGATTTTTATGAATAGCCACAACGTTGGTTTTCCTTATTTATTCGAAGCTGAAGAACATGCTCTGAGTACGATCAACTTTTAAACCGATACCAGACTACTGACAATTACGTTGATCTAACGACGGGTTTCAAACAACCTCGTTTACAGTCAGCATTTCGAAAACTTTTGGTATTTTGATGACCTTGTCAGCAAATACAACCTTTCATTGAGCTGTGTTTTGTGATATTTTAAACCAATCTTTAGACATCTGTGCTCAATTTAACAACTGCCTAATCGATGCATAGGACAAAAAAGCGGATGTGACTGCTCGACAAGAGATACTTATTTTGTCAAAGCACCTGATTCCACCTTTGGAATAGCGAAGCACTTTATGCCTTGTTCACAGACTCGTATTGATTGTTTAAGTTTTTATAATTCATTCACTTTCTTCATAAAATAGATTATATTCTTATAATTGAAGACAGATGCAAGAGTTTATTCTAATATTGAAGGAATGTTGAAATAATAAATATATCAGGGATGGGGTCAATTACATAGGAAAGTAATTAATTAAATTACAATTACTTTCCCAAAACCTTCAATTAAATTACCATTACCATTACATTGATTTTGAAATGTAATTAATTAAATTACAATTACTTTGCAAATGTAATTAATTAAATTACAAATTACATTCAAGAATACACGTATGAAAGTAAATAGTCATGTATATTCCTTTACATTCATAACAGATTATTTTACAACATTTTTTACAATAATATTATTTAAAGCTTCATACATCTTTCAAATACTGTGTCCCCTAACCTAATATATCTTCGATAAATTTGAAGATTTTCCTGCCATGCTGAAGATTCTTTCCACTGGGGTATTTGTGAGAAAAATGCATATGTAGATATACTGACTAGTAGAAAGTTTACAGATGGTTTGACCTTAATTCATGTGTTTAAATTTTGGAATCATTTTTAAGCTTTCCCATAAACAAGTGATAAATTTATGCTAAATGTACTTTTGATGCTTTGATCAATTTGCCTGTATATTTCCTTATTTCAGTGTCATAGGTTTACGTCTCAAAATGTGGGTATTTGATTTATTCTGTGCCAAACTACAATTTAAAGTCAAAGAGTATGTATAAAACACAAACAGACAAAGTCAAAGGTGTGAAAAATGTTTATTTAGGAATAAGTATATGACCCCAAGACACTAATTAGCATCTGTAAATAACTTCCAACACAAGCTGAAGATATGGCCAACAAAAGGATTAGAAGCCATTGGACTTCTTATTTTCATATGGATTAATTAATTAAAAAATCAAAATATGAATTTTATTTGTAAACTTTACAAAGATTAATTTGATTTAAAAATTTTTTTTTTTTAAATGAAATGGGGCATTGTATATAAACAGCAATTGACATAAAAAGGGAAGTTCTTTTCAAGAAATTTTACAATTGAAATTTTTGGTCCAAAGTATAACTTATTAACCTTTCATAAATAATTTTTATGAAATTGAGGGAGAGGAGACTATTTTTCATTTATTTAAAATCAGTGTAATGGAATGTAATTGAAAAGTAATTGTGAATTACATGCCTTTTTGGAAAGTAATTAATTAAATTACCATTACTTGTAATTGAAAATTTGGTCAATTACACATTACTTTCAATTACATCGAAATTTGTAATTAATTACAGTCAATTACCATTGCACATTACCATTTCCCCATCCCTGAAATATATGTATCAAACAAAATAATGTAACAGTTACCTTGGTGACCAGAAAAACACTGCATCCACTAACACCAAAAAATTGAAAATAAGATTTATATAAAGTAAAGTAATACACTCCATTGAAACAGACAAAAACATGTTTGCTATCAAAGTTGTCTGATTGAATTAAAAAAAAACTTCCCTGAGTCAACAATTTCCCGTTTACAATTCTCCTTTACCTAGGCCAATAGCTGTGTAGATTAAAGGAAATGCCTATGTGTACCCATCGACAACTTATGAAGGCACATCAAAAATAAACTGAGGGAATAAGCGTATTATTAATGTTATATCCTTTTTAAATTATATACGCTTAGGAAACTATCAGATTGGATATATGCATCCATAAATTCGTTGTTAGAAATGTTCACAGATAAATTATGTTTTGCTCACGCCATTTGCATGAAACCAGATATAGTCTGAAAATAGAAATTATACGTACTTTCTAATTATAAATGCAAAGAATTTACAAGTTCGCATAAAAATATTTAAAAATTGCTGTTTAAACAAAATGAACACATGCTCTTTACAAATTCGTTCCTTTCATACCATTTGAAAAAGCAATTTAAGTCAGTATAGATGGCTTGGTCTTTGTATTCTTGTCGACTAGATCGTTTTATTTGATTGTTTATATGTTGTTGTCCCTCTTGAAAAAAATTCACGCATATGGAGACTAGATCGTAACTTTAACTGAAATAATTGTGAATATGTTAAACAAGTCATGGTCTCCAGATGAATGATCTGTTATATTTCTCTGCTCCGATACACACAATAAATAAGAAACCATTGCAAAATCTTGGAAGGCCTAAATATTGAATTTACTTTTTTCTTTCTCATATATGATAGAGGCACTAACCCCCCCCCCCCCAACACACACACATACCCACACCCGCCTTTGGAAAAAAAATACATTAATGAACACACATTTACTACCGTTTATTCAGTGAAGAAAATTCACTGAAACAAAAAGTGTATTGAATTATTCCCAATTTAAAAATGTTGGTAACGCATGATTTGATAACATAACGTATAGGCAGAATTTTTAGCGAGGATTTAATTTTGGCATTATTAGCGAGAGTGGTGAGATCACTAAAATTGAATATCGCTAAAAATCAATTGCATTTAATATTTTATAGCTATTTTAGTGAGCATTTTAAAATTGATAACATTACATCTCGCTAAAAATTTAATACCACTTTTTGAGGAAAAATCGCTAAATTTGCGTCTCGCTAAAATTTCCACTTATACGTTTTTTTATTATAGGTTTACAATAAAGCTTTCAATTTAGATCCAAG